TAAAAACGAAAAATAGAAGACTTAAGACAACATATTTCATAAATTTTTGTCTTCGTTATTTCTAACTGGCAGAAATGTGTTTGGGAGGCTAGGAGTTCAAATTCAGCGTGGATCACTCCGGGGGAAGGTTTCCTTTCTCTGCTGGCTGAAGAGGAAGGTCCCTCTGCTTCTAGCTTGTGTTTAACCTCTTTTATATTTCTAAGGAGATTGGCTCAAAACCCAACCTACACTAATGTTGTCTCTTCAGCACAGCAAAGACGAATCCTTCCCAAATGGGATAATAAACACCAGCAGAGAGGTTAGGGTCTACAACACAATTCTTTGTGAGAGTGAGCAAAAGGGACACAATACAGTAACACTTTCCTTTTGTTTGAATATTAAAGTTTTGTGGATACAATTTACATACCATAATGTTCAGTTTAAAATGTGCAGGCAAGTCAATGTTTTCAGTATATTTACAGAATATTCATGTAATCACCACCATAATCTAACCTTACACACACATTCACTACCACAGGGTCAACTCCAATCCACAATGACCTCACAGGACTGCCCCCTTGGGTTTCTGAGACCATAACTCTTCACAAGAGTAGAAAGCCTCATCTTTCTCCCGCTCAGCATAGGCTGGTCGTTTCAAACTGTTGATCTTGCAGTTAAGTAGCCCAATACGTGGCTACTACACCACTCTTTTTAAAAGTACCTACTGAGAAACCCATCTGGACAGTACCCTATCCCAATGGGTTTCTGAGTCGGGGTCACTATGAATCAGAATCGACTTTATGACAGTGAGGTTGGTGTTGGTTAGAAGCCACTACCTTCTCCCCCAGCCAACCATTTCTTTCCAGATTTGCCTATTCTAGATATTTCACATAAATGGACTTATGCAAAATTCTAATTTTATGTCTGGCTTCTTTCATTTAACGTAAGGTTTCTGAACTCATTCACATTGTAAATTTACATTAGAATAACATACCCTTGAATGGATATGCCACACTTTTTTTATCTATTCCATCAATGAACATTTGAGCTGTTTCCACTTTTTGTTCATGTATAAATGCTGCTATAAACTTTCGCTGTTTCCACTTTTTGTTCATGTATAAATGCTGCTATAAACTTTCACACCCAAATTTTTGTGGGAGCATACGTATGTTCTCATTTCCCGTTGGAATATATGTAGAAGTGGAACTGCAAAGTCATATGATAATTCTACTTTAACATTTTGATAAAATTCCCAACAGTTTTCTAAAGCGACTACACCATTTTACATGGTCAGTAGTATATTACGGTTCCAATTTCTCCATAATTTTTTGAATCTTAAAATGCAAAACTGTTTCAATTCTCTTAACCTGCAGGAATTTATATTCTAGTGGAGGAAGACAAATAAGAAACAGAAACAAAAGTTTATTTCAGATTCAAGTAAGTGCAATGAAGAAAATAAAATGGGGTAAATAACAAGGAAAAGGGGGACTCTTGCTAGAGTGGCCAGAAAAGATCTTTCTGAGCAAGTAATGTTGATCTGAAATGTGAAGAGCTGGAGGGGGTAAACAGCACAATGAAACAGCCAAGTAATAAAACCCTGAGTCAGAACCGTGAGACATGTTCAAGGAACAAAAAGGAAGCTACAGTGTAATCAAGAGGCAGAGAGGGAGGACAAAGCTGGGGAGGGGAGGCAAGCAAAAGTCAGATAATATTAGACACCATGCTCTAAGAACTACATTTTCACCAGAAGCACCAGTCATTTTAAAATCTCATTTACTTCTTTAAATTCAGGCATTTGTTTCTACAAACATTTATTGGACTTCCAAGTAGTAGCTAATGTGGATCAATCAACACCATTCAGTTAGCATCATTTTATTTTGTGGCCCAGGAGAACACACTCTGGTGAAGAATGGTGCTTTAGTAACAGGGCCCAGGCATACGAATGAATCTTCACAAATTTATCATCCAGTGTTAATGAGTTTAAGGTGTATGATTTGTTAACAGGAGTTAACTCCATTTTCAATAAAGGAAACCAGTAAGGATATAGTCGTAAATCATTCCTATAGTCTCAGTTCTTTTAAATTGAGCTCTTAATAAAATTCCAATTCTATTGGTTAAAAATTAATTTCCAGCTGATAAATGTAAAGCCCAGGGGGATAAAATAGTCTGCATTTTCTCTAAGGCTTGAATCTTTTAAAACAAGAATGTATACACTTACTATGCTTTGGGTTTTCCAGAAGGAAGTCCTTAAAACTCGAGTGACAGGAAATGGTACACTTCAGTCCCTCAGAACAGCCTATCACTGTAGAATCAAGGCAAATTCCTATCTTCCCAGCTTCAGCTACCACAGTTCTCCCTCCAGTCACCCTTGCAAGCCCGCCAGACAGCTAGCCAGCCTCCCATCTGCCCCACTCCACCCCCCAACCACCACCACACCTTTATGATTCACATCCTCAGCCAGGAGGAATCTAACCAGTTCTTCCAGGACCAGGACAAACACTCTCTACTCAAGATTCTTTCCAGTCTCCTCCCCAGAACGGATTCCTCACTCACCTCCTACTTCTCCCCTTAAGATAAAGCCCTACCCCGTTCAACTCTCCCTGAGGCTACATCCTGAGGCTGTAACCCAACTACTCCCCTTGCTACATCCCTGAGCATTAAGTCTGTCATCAATAGTTACTCAGTTGAAAGTAACATCCATTTTAGCACCTTTTGGTACAAAACACAGCAAAATGCAAAAGGTAAGACTTAGACCCACGCTGGAGACAAAGCAGGGTAGCGGGTTCTTTCCTTTCTTCTAAATTTCTACCTAATTTGATAGTACCTAGTTCAACGATGACTTAAAAGCCCACTCCTCATTTTTTAAATATTAAAACGTTTTCACATTACCTACTCAAAAATTGCTCAACAACAATGTAAAGTTTGTGAGTGACATGTGATACCAAGAATGTGAGGCTCTAAACCCAGAGTAGAGATGGTGAAAGATCTCCACAAAGTCACACAAGAGAATCAGAGTCGCCAAAATGTGATTCCACTCTGCCATTCTATCCACAACACTCCGGCTCTTAATAATGGCACGAGCCAGAAACCCACCCAAGGGTCACTTTTTCCTTCTTTCTTAATTTGTTCCCGGGGGCCCAATAGACTAAACATTCTATAGCGGACCCTATTTTCTGATTTCAACTTGCATGTAAGATAACGCTTTTGTCTCGTTTACAGCTCACATGCTGCTGACACAGCTGCCCCTTCTTTGTGAGGAACACAGGGCTTCTATATTTAAAAATACAGTGAAACTTTGTTATAACATCCCCTCCCCAGTCTCCTGCCAATTTTCTCTCTGCCGGGCTCCACGCCCCAGCTCAGGGTGTTTCTCTCTTCCACGCTCTAAACATTAGACCCTTTGGAACGCCACCCTCCACCCCCCTTAAAGACATCTCATCGTGGGATTTTCCTTTAAAAACAGGAAAAGAGACAAGGGCAGGTTTCCCTTTCCCCACGGGCCTGCCAAGCAAAAGGCACGCTGGACCGTGGCTGCGGAGTCGGGGGTTTTCGCGAGCGGCCACGAGCGCCGCCGAAGGTCAGGTTGGGAGGCGCGCCCTGGCGCCCTGGCCGCCGCCCGCCGGGGGGGCTCGCAGCCCGGCCGGGCGCCGTGGCGGGACCTGCCGGGACCCGCAGGAGCGCCGACTGGCACGCGAGCCCGCGCCGCCCCCGCGGGACCCCGCGCCGCGAGACGGTCCCCGAAAGCGCCCGGCGGCGGGCGCGACTGCCGGGGTCACGAGCGGAGACGGCAGGCGTAGCCCCTCGGCCGCCGCAGGAGGGGACACACCCGTGCAGTCTTGGGGGACCTGTTGGGGGAGGGGGGGCAGCGGCCCGGGGGGCGGGAGATAACGCAAGACCCGAGTTAATCATCACCACCAGAACGTCTGGAAAACTACCGCAGGGGGAGGGGCGCGGTCCCGGAGAAAGTGAAACTCGACCCAGGAGCCCAACGCCGGAGCCAGGGGGACCCCGGGCGCACCCGCCACTCCACCCGGTCCTCGCAGACCCGGTGACGCTCATCGCGGCCGTCCAGCCAGTGCTACCAACTTTATGGCTGGTCACTTGGCTTTCAATGTTCATTTAATTTGTAACTTCACGCGGGAACAGGACAGCCAAAGTTGTTGATAAAGAAAATGTTCCCCCAAAGTTGAATTTGAAAACGAAAAAACGAAGTTTCCCATACCGGGAGTCGAACCCGGGCCGCCTGGGTGAAAACCAGGAATCCTAACCGCTAGACCATATGGGAAGCGCTGCTAGCGACGCTGCCCGAGACCCACCTGACAAGCGTAAGCGCCGCCGCTGCCGCTGAAGTAATTACAACACGCGCCGCCGCCCCAGCCGCCGCTCCGGCCGCCGCTGCCCACGCGCCCCGCAGCGAGGGAGCGAGCCGGACCCGAGCCGCGGGCTCGCAGGCACGGGGAGGGCGCGCCGCCCCCAAAGGAAAGTTCTGAGGCTCGGCCGAATAACTCGCGGCCCCGAAACCAGCTGTTTCACCTCTCTGTTAACTCGCCAACGGCCCCCAGCCCACAAGTCCAGGTTGCTCCGCTGGTCAAAGTGCGTGCGGATTTGTTGGCAAAGTTGAGGGCGGCGACGTCTCTGCGAACAGCTGTTTGCGTTCGGGGCGGAGGCGGCGCGCGAGCTGGGTGGCCCCGAGCCAGCGAGCCTAGAGAGCGGGTAGGGGGGCTCCTGATAGCAGGAGAGAAGGCGAGGAGGCGCGGGAACAGTAAGCCTTCAGGTCCCTGTCCTTCAGCGGAGGTCCAGTGGCTCTCGCTCCTTCTCAGTGACCTCCACCCATTTATACCGACCCCACCTCTCCGAAGCCCGGAGTACCGCCCTTCAGAGGGAGGGAGCTGAGGGCATTTCCGAACGCGGACTGAGTCGTCCGGGCACCCGTAGTTGGGCACCGCGGCACGCCGGGCCCTGGGAAGGAGGGAGGGAGGGGCTCGCGTCGGAGGTTCCGGTAGGCCTTGCGGTGGGCCGGCCCCGTCCACCCGGCGTCTGGGACCAGCGAGAGGCAGAGGCAGCGCCTGGGCGGCACGGAGCGCGACTGCGGCATCATGTGAGTTGGGGCTCAGGCTCTAAACAACGAGGCGTTGTTTCCCGGGGCAGCCCTGCCCCATCGGGGCTCCCGCGCTCTGAGGCTGGGGGCGGGACGGCCCGGCACGAGACCCGCCGTGGCCCGTTCTCGGGCCGGCTAGAAACGCTACCCGAGGAGCACCCTGAGGGCTTGGAGTTCGGGCCCGAGGGTGGGAAGCCGGCCGCGGGTGGCCAGCGAAGGTGGCGCGGAGTGCGGCCCCGCTGGTGCGGAGGGACGGACGCCGTCCTCTGTCGCAGGCATCCTTTGGGGTTTGGGCGCGCTTGGAGCACAGAGAACCCGTAGACTCGGGCTGCTGCCACCGGTCCCCACTCCCGAAGCAGCCCCCTGCCTTTCTAGTACTTCTCTTTCTTTTTGAGTCAGGACTAGGCGGTCCCTTAGCGTTTCCAATTCTCTCTTCCCTTTCGGCCCCAGAACAACTGGAATGAACTCAGACGGTTAGATCCAGTATTCGTGTTCTTTTGATGAAAATAACAGACTTCTATGCCTTTAGCAACCTTGCTAAAAGCCCGAAAGGAACGGAGAGAATAAATATTCCCAGAGATGGCCCTTATTTCTTCAGATCGATGAGAGTAAAATGAGAAATGTTATCATATTGGAACGGGCGGGTTAGAAGAACATCGGTGCAGATTTAGTTTGGTTCTATTGTCAGCAAAATTTCAACTGACTGCTTTGGCTAGATAAAGAATAAAACTACGTATAAAACAGTACCATACATTTCAAACCCAGCTAGTAAAGGCTTAGTTTTCAAACACTAAGCAGATACTAAAGATTGCAAATTTTTACCCTTTTGAAAATTAAGTATAAGCTTAGATTTCTGTTTCCCTTTTTCAGGGCAGACTACTGGAAGTCACAACCAAAGAAATTCTGTGATTACTGCAAGTGCTGGATAGCGGACAACAGACCAGTATGTTGAGTGGACTCCTAGAGATTCTAACAGTATTGTTCATGTGTTACTCCATTTTGATCTAAACTTAACGTTGCTCTTAATTTTTCAAAGCATCAAAAGGTTATGCTGTCTGCAAGATTGCCCTGTGTGAAAATGAGGTCCCTTCTTTCCTCAGCCAGAACTAAATAATTGATGTGTTGTTTTCTTTATTATGCTTTATTTGTATTTTTATCTTTGTATTATTATTATTTCATAGCCGTTTTGTTTCTGTTGGGTTTCCCAGTTTGTGAAGCAGAGAAAGAGTGAATGCATAGAGACAGTAACTGGTGTGATAATGGCTTATCTGGGATGAGGGTGGGGACGGTGATGGGATTTGGGGAGCAATGAATGAATGCAGGAGGGTGGGGAGAGCACTAGAACTGATTGTGATTGTGTACATACAACTCTTTTAAAAAGAATTTTAACCATAGAAGTGTATAATAGGGGAATATTAAGTCAAGAAAACTGAAAAGAAACCAAACTTGACCAGTGGTTACCATGGTGAAGGAGAAAGAGTTGTTACTTAGGGGGCATTGAGTTTATGTTACAGGTGGTGGAATAATTTGGAAAAGGATATCGATAATGGCTCTGTAACATGAAGAATATAATCAATGGCACTGAATTATACATGTAAAACTTTGTTAATTGGAAAAAAGTTTGGTAGTATTTTTCAGAAATAATAGCACCAGGAAGTAGTTACTTAGAAGATGGAGTCACCTGTATTTTGTGAAGCACCCGCATTAAAGTTGTTTGTAATGCTGCCATATTCTAAAACCACTACCGTCAAGTCTATTCCAACTCCCAGGGCCCCTATGGGTTTCCGAGACTAACTCTTTACTAGAGTGGAAAGCCTCGTTTTTCTCCCTCAGAGTGACTAGTGATTTTGAACTACTGACCTTACAGCTAGCAGCCCAACATACAAGGGGGTACACACAAAAAAAAACAACAATTTTTTCCCCCAAAGCTACGTATTTGTTTTTTTTTACAAAACAACTTTTATCACCTTCAAAGTACTCTCCAATGCACTTAATATATTTGTCAAATCTATGATCCCATTTTAAAAAAATCATTTTATTGGGGGCTCATACAACTCTTATCACAATCCATACATATATCCATTGTGTGTCAAGCACATTTGTTGCCCTCATCATTCTCAAAACATTTGCAAAAATGAGGTTCTAGCAAAGCTGCCTTTACAAAAAATTTGCTGTGACCAGGGAGAACCTGCCCAGGCCACATCACTGGGTGCACTGCTCAGAACGAATGGCTCCATGTCTACATGGGCTGGGAGGGGAGGAAGAGGAGATGAGTACCGTGAAAGCTCTGCCCAGCAGAGCTTTTTTCCCCATTTTGGGGGTTTTTTTGGGGGGTACCCTCCTCGTATACCGTACGAACTACGCCACCTCCCACGCCACATCAGGGCTCCTACCTTTGACAGAATATAAAAATAGCAGCTCTGTTAAACTCATTAATATTGTATTTCCTGCTCCAAATTTAACTTTTTTTAAAAATTTAACTTTTAAGATAAATATTACTGTTTTTTTGTTTTGCCCTTAATAGATGTCATAGTACTATCTACTTGTTACATAAACCTTAGTGTATTTCTTTGATAAATATTTATTTACTGTTGGTATGCATGAGCTGCTAGCACAAAGATCAGTTCACACCTGCCATGTCTCAGGGGATAGAGATGAGACTATTCCTATAACAATAAAAAGTCTCAAAAACCCAAAGGGGCATTTCCACTCTGTCCTATAGAGTTGTTATGAATTAGAATCAACTCAGCCTCCCTGTGAGACGTAGCTGAGGCTGTCTGCTCCCAGAAAGGATTTACAGCAAAGGAAACCCTATATATGATCACTGTGAGTCAGAGTCAACTAGATACTAGGGACTTGGGTTAGGTTTGTTGTTGGTATTGTCTACAAAGGAGCCCCTGAGCTAGCGGGTTAAGTGTTTGGCTGTCAATGGAAAGGTCCAACGGCTCTTCAGCGGGCCAGTCTGCTTCTGTGACCACAGAAAACTCTGTGGAGCAAATTCACTCTGTTTTATGGGGTCACTGTGTAGAATCAACTCTACAATGTGTCTGAGTGTATATTTTTCTTTTGCTGAATGTTAGACTTTTTCCCATATCTGCCCAACTCGTTGACTATCCTTTTGAGAGAGGCCTTTCTTTCAAATTAATGCCACACACTTCAAAACCCACTCAGACCACTGGGTAACTTCCTTAGAAGAGTTATCTAGAGTTAATAAACCCCCCAAGGTAATCTATCTTCATCTCTTTGTGATTATTAATGCATATTTATTTAGCCTTTAATTAGAAACAAAATTCTGTTTGTATGTTGTCTTTCAGTATTCTTTGTAAGGTGTAATCTACTCTAAGAAAGTAACTTTATCAAGTCACACTTTTCTTTAAAAGCATTCTCAGTAGTACTGTAGCCCAGTTAATGTGTCACATAATGAAAACTTATTTTGCAGAATTGACCAAGAATTTTTTATTGCATACAATCATACTTAAAATTTAGGGACCATTTCAGGTTGTTTTGAATGGATAACATTGAATTAATTGAATTGAATGAATTCAATAATATTGAATGAATAAATGGATAATATTAAATGAATATTCATTCACCCACCCTGTCCCCATCATCCAGTTACCATAAATCTCGATAGGTGACCACTTTTTCTTTCCGTGGTTTTATATGCATACAAATATTCTTATTCCAACATACCTAAAAGCTATCATATTGTGTGCACTGTTCTGAACAGTAGGGTTTTTTTTCCTTGACTGGTATATACTGGCACTCTAATACACAGGGAGCTTCTTAGTTCAGTAGTCTAGTGGCCTGTGGAAATGTACTATAGTTTTTTTGTTTTGTTGTTTTTCCCAGATGCTGTAGTTTTTAAACCAGACTCTTATGAGTGGACAATTGGATTGTTTTCAGATTTTGCTATTACAAACAAGGCTGCAGTGAATAAACTCGTAGTTAGTGTGACAAAGAAAGCAATAAAACCCCTTGCTTGGTTTTGATGTGGCAGGTATTTCTTGAAGTTAAGTACTCCCCCTACCGCCCACCCCCCGCCTCTTCGGCCTTCTCTTGTTTGAGGCCTCAGTGCAATCATACTCACTAGATTACTCATCAAGGGTACTTTGTATCTTTCTCCATTCATATGGTCGTCATCTTTATTTTAAGAACCAAAGAAACCTTAGCCAGAGAGCATAATAAATAATACGGATCAGTTCTCTAGCATCATTTGGTAAAAAGGGCTAATTGGCAGTAAAATGCATCTGTTTTTTTCTTTACTCTGCCAGTGTTGTAGTTTTGATTGCCTGTGGACTGTTGCTTTACTATGAATGTTACAATGTTTACATCATTTTCCTTTGTACTTTCTCCTTTTTTTCAAGAGTGTAGAATTTCATGAAAGAGGAAAGACTCATAAGGAAAATGTGGCCAAAAGAATCAGTGAGGTAATTTGGATAATTTCTCTGCCAAATTTTATATATAGATTTATCAGTCCTTTATCTCACATTCACCTTTATTTTTGTCTTACAAAGATTAAACAGAAAAGCCTGGACAAGGCAAAGGAAGAAGAAAAGGCATCAAAGGAGTTTGCTGCAATGGAGGCAGCTGCCCTGAAAGCATACCAAGAGGATTTGAAAAGGCTTGGCTTAGAGTCAGGTAAAGCAGCAGCCAACGTGTTTGAAAAGTAACATCAGAGATCATAGGCATTTATTGTTTCCAGAAAGAGGTTATACATTAGGCTCTACTCTTGGTGTTTTTAACTGTGCATCGCCGCCATGTTTACACTGCAGGACATTGCTTCTACACTCATTTTGTTCTTAAAGTTTCTTTAAACTCTTCTATTCACATAGTACGTTACCTTGAGGGCTACCTAGTCTTAGCTTTGTCTTAAATCACTGAGCTATTTGAGACACTTGTTCTTTTTTAGGTATTTTAATTACCCAACTAAGAGAGCTACTTAAAAGAGCTATTTAAAAATAGGCCTTACAATGTAAGTGCAATTTTCTTATGAGATACGGTAAAAGCTATGAATTATGTTTATGTATATGGTTGATAGTATAGTGAATTAGCCTTCTGTAGACAGGTTAACTAACTTTTCTACCAGAAGGTAGATAATTGAGGAGAACTCAGTTCCAGATCCAAGTGTTATTATTTTTTTTAAAAGTTATTATTTAGCTGGAATGTGCCTGCCTTGCCATTCTATTTAGACTTTGAGATAGAAAGCTTCTATGAGTATTCCATGTAAAATTCACTGTCCTTAAGCCAAGAACTCTGTTACTGATCTTGAAAAATTGTTTTGATAGTCTACTTGAAACTATACAGGGAGCTTTAAAAAGTTCATGGAAAAATGAAATTAAAACAGTGGAACTTTTTCATGAACGTTTTGAAGCCCCCTTGTATTCTTGCCAATAAAAACACTTTCAATCAAGTTTTAAGTAGAATTCCATGTGAATTAGTATTATATTCTTCAAGTAAGAGCAGTTGTTGTAGACTTTAAAATATTATTCTGGACATTAGTAGCTTTAAGAGGGCAGGTGAAAACTGATGATTCCATGAGACTAGAGCCATATATATTCACTTCAGGCAGAAATGGATTCCAGTAATTTGGAAAAGCAAAATTGAAATTCCATCTCTTACCCATTACAAGGATTGGGAGACTATTGCACGATGCTTTGAACAAAGAAACTCTAAAGAAACTAACTGCTATTAAGATTTTTCTCAAACATCCCTAGATTTTTAAAATAAAATTGAACTGTACATATGTGCTGTGCTCTGTTTAGAAGTGCTTTTCTCTTTCAATGGTAATTCTGTTATATCTTTTTAAATAAGGATATGTATACTTTTTAGTGATTATAGTGTTTAGGACATGGGCTTTGAAGTTAGCAGCAAGTTCAGCAATTCTAAACCTCCAGCCCACTTCTAGGGAAGAAGTTGAGGCTTTCAGCTCCAGTCAAGAATTGCTGTCTCAGAAACTCCCAAGGACAATTCTGCTCTGTCACGACTGGATGACAGTGAGGGATTTTTATGTTGTTTGCTGTGTGGACAAAGTGTTGGGACATGGCCTTGGGAGTTGGCAGAATTGCCTCTTGCTGGTGTTATGAACTTGGGTCTTTGTTAAAATTAAGCTTGATGATGTTGAAAACTTACCATGACTATACATAACATGCTTCATACAGGGTAGCTATTATTGTATCTATGTACCAAAATTTACTTACCTAATCTCTTAGCTTGTTTAGAGATTTTCACTAGAAAATATTGCAGTGAGCATCCCGATACATGCTGATTTTCACACTTATCTTTGTAGGTTCGATTTTTTAGAAGTGAATTCTGGAATCAAAATATAAACATGTTTTATATATTGATAATACCAAGCTGTCTTTAGAAATGTGGTTTACATTTTTACTAAATGCGTATAAGTTTATCAACTGGTGTTAAGCCATTCACTTTTAAAAACAAAGCCATAAAAGCTACTCATTTTTCTACATCCAGGTAAATATGATTGATCAGATTAACCCTAGGTTTGGTCATTCTTTTCATTACTTACTGACACAGCTATGTACGTGTGTGCATGCATGCACGCACACACACAGGGACTTTAAAAATGCATGGACAAATTAATTAAAAGTTACTGAATTTTCTCACGAACATCAGATAGCCTCTTATCCTTATGTTTCTTTGATTATTCAAGAAAGCAACTATCAATCCTCTGAATTGCCTTTGTGCTTTTTGTCCATTTTTCTGTTACAGTGTTTGATTTGTATGGGGTTTTTTTGTTGAGAATATTAGCTCTCTGTAATGTATGTTGAGATTTTTTTACCCAGAAGGTCCTCTTTTTTTTCTTTTTCTTTTTTTCTATGCCTTTTCTTTTGTTTGTCTTACAAAATACTTTAATGTTTATGCAGTCAGTATTAACATTGTACTTCATGGTACTTTCTGTCAATATCATGATGTATTTATATTGATACTAAAAAGTGGGGAAGGTAGGGTTCTTCTTTTTTTATCATTTTATTAGGGGCTCATACAACTCCACAATTCATACATGCATCAATTGTGTAAAGCACATTTGTACATTCATTGCCCTCATCATTCTCAAAACATTTACTCTCCACCTAAGCCCCTTGGCATCAGCTCCTCAGTTTTTCCCCTCCCTCCCCGCTCCCCCCTCCCTCATGAACCCTTGATAATTATTATTTTGTCATATCTTGCCCTGCCCGACGTCTCCC